GGCCCCAGGGGCCGACAGAAACGAATCCGAAGCGGAAAATCACCTTTGGGGGGACCGTCCCATCCCCATCCCCCCCTCGCCCGTCCCCCCCCCCTCTTCTTCCTCATCTCCCCTCCTGCCTCGGTATGCATTCCCATCCCCCATCTTCGTCCTTCCCCTCATCATCATCAACATCATCATTCTCACCCTCATCATCATCACCAGCGTCATGAGCTTCATCATCATCATCATCATCATCATCATCATCATCATCAGCAGCAGCGTCATCATCAGCATCAGTATCATCATCACCGTCACCATCATCAGCAGCACAATCATCACCAGTTGCAGATGTGTACGTGTGTCGTCCTGGTCTGGTCCGTGCCATGGCCGCTCTTGCTCCGCATCGGCCGCTTCATGTCGTGGGCGCCTCCTGCCGCGGGGCTCGCCCCCGTGAACAACTGTGTGCTCTCGGAGACGGGCTGGGACGTGCTGTTGGGCACGTTCGGGGACGCCTCGGAGCGCGCACTGGCGCTCCAACTCTTCGGATCCTTGCGTCGGGGAGCCTGGTTGCTGGGAGCGGTCTGCATGATCATCGGTTTTTTCATCGGGAGGTATGCTTTTCCGCGCTCGAGCGGGGCAACAGTTCGAGATCCAGTGGCACGCTGGGGAGCCGTTCCAGACAAAAGTGGCGCTCGCGCGCTGCACCAAGGCGGAATATCGGGAGACGACAAGGCTTCCGCCGTCGGAGAAAGCGTCGAAGGATGGGCGCCTGTGGTATATGGTCATTCCCGACGGGGGCATCTACCCACACGAGTTGACGGACCAGGCGTTGCGGGTCATCGTGCCGTTCGACATGACAGGAAGCCGCCAGCCAGCCAATCGCGAGGGCGCCAACCCAGCGGGCTTGGGCGCCTACGCGCCCGACTGGCAGATGAAGGTTGCGGAGTTTTGCTTGGCGGCACGGCTCGTTATGGGAAGCTCGCTCGACGGTCGACGCCGATGGCGGAAGGGGGGCCCGAGGAGGAGGCGCCCGCGCAGCAGCCCCAAACGAGACCTTCCGCATCGGCTTCGGGATTGATGAAGAGTCCGAGAGAGTGGGCTCCCTGACGGGGCAAGCTCCCAGACGCAGCTCGTTCGCAATGGCGTAGCCTCGCCACCAGCGACGGCCTAGGGAAGGGGGCGATCGGCAAATTGGGTATCGATTCGTTCGCGATCTGATCTGGCTTCGGGCCGCTCGGCAAGGCCAGGGAGCGCAGCATGCTGGCGCTCGCGCTCCCACCCGATGACGGCGACGAGCTAGACGCCCGCGCGCTTGCTCTCCGCTGAACGCCTCACCAGAGGTTCTTGGGGCTGCGCGAGGCGGTCGGCGAGCTCGCCAAGAGCCAGTGGGTCTGCGAGTTCGCCGAAGAGAACAGAGCCGCGCTCCGCTCGCGCCACGCAGACTTCAAGGCGGAGACGGGGCTCACCAGCGCCAGCCAGGGCGCGTCGGCGCACGAGCTCCGCTTCCGCACCATGCACTGTTGTTGACTTTTGACCAGCCCAACGCGAGCGTGATGGCCCGCGCCGAACTCGTCTGCCGCCGACTTCAGCTGGCGGGGCATCGCCACCGCGACCGAGTTCTCACGACGTCTCGCGGAGACGAGCTGCTCGAGGATTCGCACTTGCACCTCGGGGCGGGGGCGGCGCGCGGGCCGGCGGGCGTCGCGACGAAGCCCCTCACCTTTGCGACCGACGAGCTCCACGAGAAAAGCTTCGCGCTCAAGGAGCGCAGGAAGTTGAGGGGGGGGCGCCTCGCCTGCGCGATCCGAGCGCCAGCAGCGGGGCAGACCGGCCCCGATGGTCGAGCGCGCAGAGAACCGCGGGCAGGCAGGAGGCGGAGATCGAGAAGTCAAAGCAGCAGCTGGCGACCGCGCCGCAGGGCAACCCGAAGGGAGGGGGCCGAGGTGCTCGCGCGTTTTTTTCAAAACCCGAAAGCGGCGGAGTCGGGGCAGCCGACAGCCGGCCATCGAGCTGTGGATTTGCCAGGCGGCGTCGGCGCTCAAATCCCTCAACGGGCGGGCGGGCGGCGACGGCTTCGGCGGGCCTTCGGCAGCTCAGCTCGACGGCGTCGACTCGGGACACGACCACCTCGAGTCGGTTGGCTCGCCCGACATCAATCCCACGGCGGCCCATGCAGAGCGGCGCGGGCACGTTCCTGGGCACAACCAGTCCCTGGCGAGAGCAGCTTTGAAAACCAGAGGGAGCGTCGCGCTCGCTCGGGAGCTCGCTCGGCGGCCACGGCGCCGCCAAGCGGGAGTCGGAGATGGAGCTGGCGCTGGACGCCGTTCGGGCGCGCGAGAAGTGGGGGCACGGGGTCGAAGGGGGAGATCAACGCTCGGGACTTCGCCTTCGCTCGCGACCAACGCTGGCCACGCCGCCGCGGGCGGGGGCGCCGGGCCACCCGGGCCCGCGCCCGCCGCCGCCGCGACGGCAGCGCCCGCCGCGGCGTCGGCGACGCCCGACGCGGCCGAGGCGGGCCGCGACGACCCGCGCAGATTCGCGACAGCAGCGCCCCCGGACATCATCTTCCCCATGAGCTCGCGGCGGAACGCGACTTTCGGCCGCTGGGCTCGCGGGAGGGCCATCCCGAGGCTGGATGGGCCGCGCGCTGCCGCTCGGCATCCGCCGCGGGATGCGCGCCCTGCCCTGCGCGCTCGAGGCTCGTTGCATCTGACGCTGAATGATAGCCTGTCCTTGGCGCCGGGCTTTGAGAAGTCGCTCAGCATTGCCTCTGATCAGTCAGACGTGCCGTGAAGCGTGTAGCTATAGCATCATGCACGACACGCCCGCAGCTGCCCGTCGGCTGCCGTCGACATGGGACACCCCCGACAGGGGCCCTTTCGGGGCCTGACCCCTTCGCCTTCGACCCGCCCGCGCAATGCCGGCGCGGCGCGGGCCCGCCTCTCGAGGGGGGCCGCCATCGAGAAGGCCAGACAGGACGAGCACGAGCACCAAGCCAGCCTCCTCCGCCGCCAGCGCCGCGACGTCTGCGACCCCGACGAGGAGGCCGCTGCCAGCGCGTCGACCTCGGCCAGATCGGGCAGCAGCCGCGGCAGTCAGCGCGGCGACCCCTGCCGCCGAAGGCGACCGCTGGAGCTCATCGCCCAGCTCGAGCGAAGGCGGCGGGGCGCCCGAAGCTGGCGCGCCAGCAGGCCAACCGAGCCAAGCTGAGGGGACAGTTCAGCGACGCCACCTCCGACCCTCGGTACGGGCTGACTTCGCGGAGGCAAAAGGCGCGCACGGCCACCATCAACAGCTTCGACAAGCACGCGATGAGCTTCCTCGAGCGGGCGCAGCCGGCGTCGCTGAACGCCGCGACGGTCGGCCGTCTCGACGCACTCCTGGCGGCCCACTTGGACAAGCTATCCTGGGACGGCGAGCTGGCGGAGACGGGCTCGCGGCTGCGCGCCTCGACGCAGCACGGGCTGCCGCGCGCGCCGAGGCCCAAGCACGGGGGCCCCCCGCTGCCGCGCGCACCGCGCCATCAGGCTTTCGAGCGCACGCGAGGAGCCCCCCGACGACGCCCGTTGGCAAGCCCATCGCGTGGACCACGATCGGCATCGCGGCGCCGGAGGGCGATTTCGACCGGGCGGGGGCGACGGCGCCGGCATGGGACGGCACGATCCGCCTCCCAAGTGACCTCGCGAACATAACGACCGCCCCGCTGGTGGGGCCAGTCCGCTGGGATGTCCCGCGTTGGGCTCTGCTGCTGCACCCAATTGCGTGCTCGACGCAGAGCAAGACGCTGGCCCAGGACGACGGAGTGCCCGATCGAGACGCTCGGCGCAGCTGCGGGGGCGACTTCCTGAAGCGGGCCCGCGCTGCCCAGCCTGCTTGCGCACCTCCCGGTCGTTCATCGACGCCAGGTTCAACGGCAAGTTCCGCCGTCGGCTGTCGCCGGTGCCGGGCGCGCCCGACATGGCCCCTCACCAGCTGCGCAATTCCGCGGCATCGCACGCTGCCGCCGCGGAGCTCATGAGTCCAATGGAGCTGCAGGCCCGACTACGACACACCGGCGCGCAGAGCACGGCGAGGGATTCGAGGCATGTCTTCCACCTCGCCGAGCTCGAGAAGGTCGACGAGCACGCGACGGCCTGGTCCGAGAATTGGAGGTCCAGATCGGCCGCGCCCTCGGCGAACAGTTCTGCCCGTGGACGCCGAGCTTCCTGAATGAGAGCAGCTTGGCGTTCGCGCGGCCCCGCGCGGCCTCGCCCGTGCCCGCCGCAGGGCGCCTGGGCTAGCGTCGCTGGCTTCGGGACTGGGCGATTTCAGTAGCGCTGGCCACAGCTTCTGGATAAATGGGCACCGCTGGCTGACGCCATCGCGTTCCGCCGTCTCGCCGGCTGGATATCCTCTCGACGCGCCCGAGGAGTCGTCTTGACCTGGTCCAGATTCGGCGAGCACAAGGGCAGCACTGCCCTCGCTGGCCTAATACACAAGTGTTTTAGCATAGCCTGTCCTTGCTTGGCCATATCCCTTTCAGACAGCGCTCACGCGCACTCCGCCATTTTCGATCAGTTAATGAACATTTGCGATGGTAGACATTGTTTGGCGTCGCCCTGCTGGCTCGGCCAGAGCCGATCGAGTCATCACAAGTTGTGGGCCCTCGGTATTCTCGCGTGGCTCCCCCGTTGGAGACGGAAGCCCTCGCGGGCACTCCGCGCTCGGGCCCCCGCGCAAAGCTTTCTTTGTGCATCTGCCGTCGCGGCTTGCACGTTGGTTCTGCTCGCGGATCCCCGTGGGAGTTTCCAGGGTCTCCGAAATTTACATATATATATACACAAGCTTGAATGATGTACACTGCAACTTCATAACAGTGCACATATGTGGAAATGCTTCCTTTCCTTTCTTCCTCCTCTCCCTCTCTCCTCCTTGCAAGTCTTCTCTCCTCTGCCTCTACCTCCTCTTCCTCCTATACCTTCGCCCTCCCTCAACCTTTCCCTCTGGCTCCTCACCTCCTCTACCTCCTCGTCCTGCCCTCAGCTCCCCAGGGGCGCGCTGCTGGCGCTTTCGGCCGGCCTCCTGCCGCGGCGCACCTCCAGGATCGCCTTGCGTATGGCGACGGCCCGCCACAGCAGGCCGGCGTCCACCTCCTTCCTGCGTTGCAGGCCAGTCGGCCAGAGGAGGCGCCGCTGCAGCGCATCCTGTGGCCGGCCTACGGGCCTGATCTCCGCCTCGCAGCGCCAGACCACGTGCTCGAAGTCCGGCGCCTCGTCCCTCCCACAGCGGGAGCAATGCTCCTGCACTGCTGCCCGCCCTTCACGTCGTTGTCCTCCTCCTCCTCCTCCTCTCTCCTCTCTGCCCTTCGCCGCCTGCAGGTGCGCCGGCGAGACGAAGGCTCCAGACATCACGCTGGCCGCGGGCGTGCTGCCCTCTGCCAGAAGCCTCGCGGCTTTGCAGCGCCGCTCGTCGTACTGCTCGAACCGGCACAGAGACGAGTCGATGCGGCTCTGCCCCCGCCACCTCCCGAATAGGTCCGCGCGCCAGCCTTCCCGGAGCACGTGCTCGAGGCGTCCTTTGCACTCAGACCAGTGCTCGCTGCCCTTGCTCAGGCTGAGAATGACGCCCGTGACTGGGTGCCTCCACTCCCACTCGGCGCGTTCCTGCCAGCCGCAGCCCTGCAGGAGAGTGTACCTGCAGGGTCTCCAAAACACACAAGCTTGAATGATGTACACTGCAACTTCATAACAGCGCACATAAGTGAAAATGCTTCCTTTCTTCCTCCTCTCCTTCTCTCCTCCCTGCAAGTCTTCTCTCCTCCGCCGCCCTCCCTCAACCTCCCCCTCTGGCTCCTCACCTCCTCTACCTCCTCGTCCTGCCCTCAGCTCCCCGGGGGCGCGCTGCCAGCGCTTTCGGCCGGCCTCCTGCCGCGGCGCTCCTCCAGGATCGCCTTGCGTATGGCGACGGCCCGCCACAGCAGGCCGGAGTCCACCTCCTTCCTGCGTTTCAAGCCGGTCGGCCAGAGGAGGCGCCGCTGCAGCGCATCCTGTGGCCGGCCTACGGGCCTGATCTCCGCCTCGCAGCGCCAGACCACGTGCTCGAAGTCCGGCGCCTCGTTCCTCCCACAGCGGAGGCAATGCTCCTGCATTGCTGCTCGCCTTTCTCGTCGTTGTCCTC